TATCTGGAATTGTATCGTCTATTCCACAAAGTACAGTTCATTATTTTTTAGGTTTGAATTTATTTTAAAAAGCCTTCAGGGCTAGCAGCTTGTCACTCTAGAGTGATTGTCCCAGCACAATATGGAGAGAAGGTAAAAGAATGGTTATGGAATCAAGCTTAAGTCCTGTTTTCAAAAAGCACCTGTGATGGCTACCTGAAAACCCTTTGAAAAAACATACTTATACCTTTCTGAAAATCAGAAAATGTTTGTGTTCTGTCTAGGCAATGGTTTGAATTTCCAAAGAACTATCGGACCTAATCAGAAGCTGTTGTTCCTACACCCTTCCCTTTTCTACAGCTGTACAGTGAAGAGTATCCTTCACAAAGCCCCTAGTGGCACTAATGATGCTATCGCTCCTTTTTGCTGAGCTGTCATTTCTCCTAATTATCATTTATATTATGTTCTGCTACCTTCTAATATTAATATTGCCACATATATACTTTGTTAGGTAACACTATACAGTGCTTATTCATGAGAGAATTTCAGCCCCATTCAACTTCCCTGAAGCTTTGAAATGTTGACGAATGTTTTTAAGATGGTCCCTGCTTAATGTTCATTACTAGGGGAAGAGTTAGCTGTCCATAAAACCTTTGATTTGATACATGCAAATGTTCATTGTTTGCACAAAATGGATAATTGATTACCTAATTAGTGAATATCTGCTAGCACACACAATTAGCCAATTTGCAGGAACAGATGCTGGCTTATGAATATGGTGAAACTATTTGTAGTGGCATGCAAGTTCCTTTCACAGGTGACTCCCTTTGACCTCTTAAGTTTCAAGTTCCTGTCCTTTTCCAGAGAAGATGTGGGGCGGGAAAGGAATGACAGTATGTCACATATCCCCTTTAGGATTTTATACTTGAAGATAACAGAAATAGAGTAAGGGGTCTTAAAAAAAATCTCCAGAAATTCCCTTACCCTTAGATTAGACCCAAACCCTGGGTCCATTAGGGTCACAGTGTGACTGGACCAAGTGCAGTTGCTCACTTTTTCTCCTCCACATCACTCTTAGTTAAATGGAAGGGCAGTTGATTTAGCTACTAAGTGCCAAGATCTACTCAAACTAATTCCAGGTTCTATCATACTATTTCAGTAAATCCTACAGTATTTTATAGCTGCTCATTCAACCCAATAGGTCACCCTGTTACCATAGGTATAATGTAAGTGTTTCTTCCTCTGGAAGTGGGCTTAATTTGCTTTGTTTCAACCAGTTTATGTTTTACCAAGGAAGTTTGCTGACTATGCTTCCACAGCTTAATTTGATCAATCTCATTATTTGCCTTCAAAAGAGTTATCTTGGTTATTTCAGAGAAGGAGATCCCTCTCCTTACTCAGGTATTAGAGTATCTTTACACAACAGATAGAAAGCTAAGGCAAAGAATGGAAGTTCTCCAAAACATGAAAGCTAAGCCATCTGTCTGGGAAGTGTTATCTATCTCACAGACAAGGATCTGGCAATGCATAATTCTGGCACTTCAAACACAAGAGCCTGGTCCTATAGCTTTCTAGTGCTCTTTACATTGCAGTCAGACTAACAGTTTACTGAAACACAGAGAAAGGTGCCAGTTCAGGTCACCAGAAGAAATGCTGCACAGAAGGACTTACCCAGCAGGGTCACTGCTGTGAGGCAACCACTGATGTAGGCATCAGCAAAATCTTACTCTTTAGAAAAGAGAAAGATACAAACTGGTGGTTTACCTTTGTAACAGTGAGGTGGAACTGTAATTAGAAAACATCCTAATCCTTGAAGAACTTCTGTGAGATGACAGAGCTTTCAAAAATCTTCCCAATTCAACTCATCTTAAGCCTTTGCAACAACCGGCTTCCTTACCTCATTGCAATGGATTTATTACCTATCCCTGCCAGAAGTGGGAAACATCTGCTGTATTTTGTAATTTCAAAAATATAATAAACACAGTATGCACATCTTTGGAATAATTTGTTGTTGTTTAAAGTAGATTTTGTTTGTGAAGAGAGGTAGGGGACAGATGCTCTGTTAATTAGTATGAAACCGAAGTAGAGCTTCCCATAACTTTAGGCAGTACTGACTCACTCATTAATACAAGCCTGATCAATTCTAATTCTGTTTTCTACAGAGTTGAATTTTCTGATTACATTTGACTTGCTTGAAGACAACTAAGAAAAATAAGTCAGGTTATAACATTACATTGAGGAACCTTTTGAGTTTATAAAATTAATCTCTTTTTTTGCAAAGCTTAATTCTACCTTTGCTTTCTGATTTACTGAACTAAAAGTTACTTAAAGCAGTTTCCCAAATAGCTATCCTTCTGCTGATGCAGAGGGTTGACCAATGTACAGGGGGGTTAGAGGAATTTGCTTGCATTAGAGGAATTTACTTGTGTTAGAGGAATTTACTTGCCTAGACAAGGTATTGTCTGTTATAAGTGCCTACTAAGCAGAACAAAGACACCAAGTCCTATTGATAAGCAAAAGCAGGCACCTGGTCGTATTGATAAGCAGACACCTGATTATAATGATAAGTAGCTATTGATAAGGAAAAGCAGGCGCTGGATACGGGAAGAAGCAGATGGTTTATGGCTGGGGCACCAACCAAACCCTAAGGCCATATGTGTAAAGACTAAAAGGTGACAAGTTCAAGAAGAGGAAGACTCATTTACTTCATCTTGAAGACCCCTACCCACAGGAGGAAGACTCATTTACTTCATCTTGAGACCCCTGCCCATGACCAGAGGGGGCACTGCGCAGGCGCAGAGGACTTTCTAGGTCATTATAATACGAAGGGGATAGAATATGAATATGTATAGGCGTATTGTGCAACCTTGTAACTTTAGAGGATAAATGTAGAGGGAAACAACACTGAGGCACACATGACTTTTGGAGGACCAATCCCCCGTGCATCTTCAGCTGAATAAAGCATACCTACTTTACAACTTTAACGAAGTTGTGGAGTCTATTCCATTATCACTGCAATGCTGCTCAATAGCCCAGCTTGTAAAATAGAGATATTTGAAGACATATTTTGATTTAGTGCTATATGGTGTGCTTGCTTAAAAGAAAAAAAAAAAAAAGACATCTACAAACAAAGCACTGTGTTGCAATAATAATTAAAAAAAAAAAAAGATAGGGAAAAAAGAGCTGGAGATACGGAACATGATAACATGTTCCAGTTCACACTTAAAACAAAAACAGGTAAAGAACACAGGCAGAGATGGTGCCTTGCAGTAACAGAGTGACTTGGTGAATATTAGCCTCTCAGAATGGGGTAAAGCAGCAACACAGCTGCTTGCACTGGACAAAGCCATCAAGACTGTTCAGCCAGTTAGGGGAGAAGAAGAGCCCTTCACCCACCAGTCAGCAAGAGCTCTCAAAAAGTACTGTCAGCAGCCAGTAGAACACTGAAGAAAACCTGTAAATTAGTCAGCAAATGGAGCTATCTCAGGAGGGATGAAATGGGGGTCTTCTAATGTTACGAAGTCAACTGCCCTCCCACTGTGAAGCAGTGACATACCTGTTTTGTGCTCAGGCACAGCGAGACCCTTCCCTCTCTATGGACCAAGCAGGTAGCCTGCATTAGAAGCCTGCATTCATAAGGAGAGATGTGGTCTGAAATGGCCTTTTTCCACTTTTATTCTCATCTAGACAATTTATTGGTGACAGCATTAACTTACTGTAATTCATTACTCAGATTTTAGGGTGTTCATTATAATCTGAAGTTTTGACCTTAATGACATTTTGTATTTTGGAAACAATACTCTTTCTTAAAACACAAGACTGTCACAAAAATCTTGAAAACTGCAGACATTAATCTTCAGTTTCAATTAGCTTCCAAGCATAAAAGGCTGTTTTGTCTCTTAAGAAACAGGATTGTACTACACTTGAGAAACAGCCTTTAGTGGATCTAAAGAGCTGCAAGTCAGTTATTTTCACTAGAAAGTCACCCTTTAACCACAAGCAAATGTGTTCTTTATAAAGACAACCACTGCATCTGGTAAGAACCAATAACGCAATTGCTAGCTTCAGCATATCAAAGATGTTGCTATTTATGCAATCCATGCACATACACCTGTTAGCAAAAACCTTTCCATAGCTTAGCAAACAGTTTCAGTCATTTTATCATCTGTTTTCATTGTCAGTCTTGATCACTTAATTTTTGCACAGAATTTTAGCAGTGTGCTTTTAAGTCCTGGGAGCAAAATGGTCACCACATTACTGGCAGTGTGCCGGAGCACTGCTAACATTCATGTGGCTTTCTACACTTTACCTCCAGCTGATATCCAGCTCAACCATTTTACAGCTGCATAAGGCCATAGTTTACTTGGCAAAGAGCAAGTAGAAAATTGTTGCGGGTGCAAAACTTCAGGGAGCTCCCTAATTAACGAGAAAAAAAACCCAAGCAATTTTTTTGATACAGCATTTCAATGATCAGGCTAATAAACAGGAAAATAAGCTAATTCACCAGGCTTGAGAATGTAGCTGAGTGCCCCTGAAGTTTTTAGTAATTTCCTCTGACTGCCCATAGCTGTTATTTCCATGTTGTAATTCTGACCATTTCATCCCACTCTGTTGCTTTAACTAGAGAGAAGACTCTCTGTGGATACGTGAATGAGTTTCTATACAGATTACCTGGTTAAAAAAGGGGAAAAAAGATCCCAAAGAAATGCCACTGAAAGCCTCTTTTCAAAAACCAGTCCAAAACTCCTGTCTTGAAACACTGAAAGCTATACTGCAGTTATGCTGCAAAGGATGGTGCCTGACTCAAGGTGTGACATTGCTGGGAGATGGCTAATACATGGCTAAAGTTATGTTTCGAAGTGCTCATATGAACTACAGGAAAGAATTCATATTCACTTTTTCTGCAGGAAAATACCCGTTTCCTGACTGCTCCTTTCCTGTTTCCCACAACATAGGGAGAATATGCCCTAATCTGCACTCTTATGGGTGTTACATCATGCAATGTATTACATAGAAGACAGACTATTTAGAGGCTTTAATGCCTGGAAGTCAAGAAAAGCCAGGATTTTATGGTGTTCTTGGAATCCTGACCCTGCTGTGAAGCTACATACAAATAATTTATGATCATGCCCTCCTCAGTCCCTCTACCCCCAGACTCCTCCTTTTCAAGTTAAGTTTGTGTCGAGAAGATCTGTAGGCATGTGCTACCTCCACTGGGATCCCCGCAATGGCTAGTGCAGGTTCACTTGAGACAGTATTGGCAAACTGGAAAAAACAAACATGGTTCTCTCCTTTTGATTCCTGTAAACCTTTGCCTATGCTAGGTCACCTTTCCTTCCAGTATCAGCTGTGGACTTCTAGACCTCCAAGAGTAACAGAACAGCGAAATTAAAATATAATTTAAATAAACCATGGTAACACTGTGACTAAAGGATTTAATTGCATTACAGAGGCTCAGATAGCATGAAATGAAAGTAGAAATACATCAAGATTTACTGTTTCATGAAGAAAAATCATAAAAGTGTGTAATGGTACACAAGGTAATATTTATCTGGGAATAGATGACAGAGAACTTTATGAGACAGAGCTACAAGGCATGAAAGATATAAAGTGCAATAAAAAAAGGATAAACTCAGCAGGGCTGATAAAAGAAGAAATATACAAATATTAACCCACAAATAACTGACACACCTATTCTTTGTTCTTTCAAAAGTAAAGGATTTTATCTTCAAATTTTAAACCTCTATGATGATGAAAAAATGAAACAGCCTGATATTAAAATTAAATATCATTTCCTGTATCCAAAGATGAAAATACTATCTGCACAATCTACTTCATCTTTCAGTTCATCTTTTCAGAACATATTAGTGGTTTTAATAAAGCTCCAAAGAAAACACATTACAATAGATTTTATTTTGCATTTCTTTAAAGAAACTCATCTACTGATAACTTTCAAGACCCTCTCCTCATTTAAATCTCCAGCTTAAACATATGCATAATGACCTAATAATATCAAAAGAAAGCTCCATCTCCACCTGTGGGCTATTGAATCTAACTGCATCTCCACTCCAAACCTCTGAACTTTCTGCCAATGTTCTGAAAGATGGGCTGCTGATAAATACAATAAGTTATAGTACAGAGAACTGTGGTCAAGATAAAATAGGTCAAATCATATTAACAGTTATGCTTACCAATGGGGTGGTTTCTCAAGGTTGATTGACTAGAACGATGCTATTCAAATGTATAAAGTATGTTTAAATCATTTGCAGTATTGTGATTTGAAGTCAGTCTGCATACTATTTTGCAAAATATTAAAAGTCCCTTTGATTTATTTTTAATAGCCTTTTTTTAAATCCTCAAGACAGAATGTTTCCTCCTAGTTACCACATGCCTTCAATATCTGTAAAAGATACATAATTCAATGTGTCCAGACATTCAGTAACTATTTTTTCTTCTTGTTTTTCCTTTTTGCTCAGATGTGCATTGTCTATCCAAGACTAGTTTTAATTTTCTTGAATGAGCTTTGTAAACTGAAGACTTGATTTCAACTACCACTTTTAAAGGAATTTTATTGAAAGGTAGGTCATTACATACCATACATGACTAGACAAGAAGGTAGCACTTGTTTATTCTCTAATGAGTCAGGGTCATTAGTTAGACTGCTGTTTACTGTGCAGGCAAGGAAAAAAAAAGATAATTGAGTCACACAGAAATAAACTTCAATCTTTTCGAGTCTCCAGGAACAAGAAGTAATGACATCTCATTAAATCAACAACTCATGCCTGCACTTACCTATATTAAATTATATATTCATTCACAATACCTATTCTGCTACAGCATCACCTTAAGATCTCCATATTCATATTAAGCTGGATAATTTTATGGTTGTAACATTTGTATCTCTTAAGAGATGGGATAATCAAACCTCATGCTGCAGGCTGTAAAGGAATTGCCATGGGGATTCCCTCCCACTGCTTCAGTTGGTATCACACAGTGAGGTAGGTGCATCCTTCTGTTTCTGCACCATCTGCCATTAGCCACAGCAGGTGGCAAGATACATCATTTACTAGGCATTTAAGCACTTGAATTGCAGCATAATGTCACATTAGGACATGCTTTTGGAATGACACCTGGAAACTGAGGGCTGGCAGAAAGAGAGAGACAGAGAGGGAGAAAGGAAAGAAAAAAGAGATAAAAAAGAATAAAGAAAAAAAAGGGGGGGGGGGGGGGAAGGAAGGGAAAAATGGCACAGGGTTTGCTCCAAAACTCCCTGCCTCAGAAGGATTTAGACGAACGGTGAGCAGGTGGTTGGAAAGAATAAATCCAATCCTAATGCTCTCTGAATTGTGAACATTCCACAGTCATGTAACCTTGTGACCACTTTCATAACACTCCTGACCACAATAACACAGTACTTTCTAATTCATCCATTTTAGCCTTGTGTGGTACAGCTTCTCACTGCCATCGGGAAGTACAGCATTGCTTACAATATATTCACATTTGAATTGCACTAAAACCACTTTCAAGACACTTTTTTCATGCTTGTATTAATCATCATGCTGCATTGAGTTAAACCAGCATTATTTTTCAATTTCTTCTCTTAATCTGGTCATTTGGATTCCAGCAGGCCTAGTCAGACCCTGTACCTCCTTTGTGGCAATTGTGACTCCAGAAAAATGCACCAGCAGAGAGACAAGGGCCTGCTCCCAAAGAAGCACTAGGTTGATTAGAACAGGAATGAGTGCCTTCCAGAACTACATTCTTTGAATTCATTGAACAAAGAAGCTTGAAGCCCAGAAGATATCTAGCTCTTTTAACATAGGATTTCTCTTGAACAAAAGGCATCTGGAGAGGCAAAAAAGCCCAAATTGCCTTATTCTTAACAATCTACAAGATGGATAATATCCCATTAAGCTCAATGAAGGTCTTGCTTAGTTAGCAAGATTACGCTGCTCACCCATAGAATCATAGAATAGTTAGGGTTGGAAAGGACCTTAAGATCATCAAGTTCCAGCCCCCCTGCCATGGAAAGGGACACCGCGCTCTAAACCATATCACCCAAGGCCTCGTCCAACCTGGCCTTGAACACTGCCAGGGATGGAGCATTCACAGCTTCCCTGGGCAACCCATTCCAGTGCCTCACCACCTTTACAGTAAAGAACTTCTTCCTTATATCCAATCTAAATTTCCCCTGTTTAAGTTTGAACCCATTACCTCTTGTCCTATCACTACAGTCCCTAATGAAGAGTCACTCTTCAGCATCCCTATAAGCCCCCTTCAGATACTGGAAGGCTGCTATGAGGTCTCCACACAGCCTTCTCTTCGCCAGGCTGAACAGCCCCAACAGCCTAAAATCATAGTTTTGATTTACTGTATCAGAAAGTAACTTGACATTACTCAGATAATTTGCATCACTTGAATTAGTTTGCCAAGACCAATAATCAAAATTCCTTTTTTGTTTTAGGGCAGTTGGTGACCTGTGCTTTTGTAAAGGCTGGCATAAAACACAACACCTGTGAATATAAGCCCATTATTTGCCTCACTTCAAACCTGATGCCTCAAAACTAGCCTAACAGTTTTGAAATGGATGTGACTGATGAGTTGGAATTGTTAAGACACACAGCAATGACTGAAAGCATTCGAACTTTTATTATGATAGAAACTGCACTTTTAACCTTGGCAGTGCTGCTGACTTACAATATTAAGAAAAACCTTAAATTTTCTAGGGGAAAGCCATACAATTTGCTGCACACTGAACTCAGTAATTCAATCTCATTAGACTCATTAATTCAGTTATTATTATGATGAAGTAATGCACTAAAATGACTGGTCCTACATAATTACCCTTTCCAAATCATTCTCCTGAAAAACAGGTTCTTACTTAGCAGCTAGATCCAAACAGCAGCCTCCTCCCACTTGATCAAACCTGCACAAGTGTCCTGCATAAGTACAGGACTGGTATAAACTATACACTCTTGTCTGCAGGAGCAGCTCATTCACCGAGTTGCCTTTAGCAAAATCTAGAAATGCTGATTTTAATTCCAGTATCCTATTGTACACAGGAAAAAAAGCAAAGAAATCACAGAATCATAGAGTGATGTAGGTTGAAAGAGACCTTGAGGATCATTTAGTTTCAACCTTTTGCCACAGGAAGAGACACCTTCCACTAGACCAGAGTGCTCAAAGCCCCATCCAACCTGGCCTTGAATACTGCCCGGGATGGGGCAGCCACAGATCCTCTGGGCAACCTGTGCCATGGCCTCCTAACCCTCACAGTAAAAATGCTTCTTCCTAAGGTTTAATCTGAGTCTTGCTCTTGTTTCCAACTCTGAGCAGATATCTGGATATTTTATGCTCCCTGCCGCTCCTCCCCAGGTTCAAAACCATCAGAGACTGTTCCTGGAAATAGCAGAGTTTGGCTCTAAGCAGCTCTTGCACCTTCTGTGACAATTCTCTTTTACAAATTATAGATTAGACAGAACATCCTCATAAAAAAAGCAGGCCAAAGTTCCCCACAGAAGTATAATTGTATTGTTAATATATTAACCATTGAGGTCAGTTTAACCTTTTTACTAACCTGGATGTGTTTTTTGAGACTGAATTCATGTTTCTCTGCCTAGAGGCTGCTGTCGGCTTGGCAGTGGTCATATGACAGCCCATATGGTGAAGGTGATCCTCTCAAATTCATGTTCCCTGTAGTAGCAGGTTTGCCTCTGGAGAAGCTGAGGGACACAACAGCCACAGCATTGAGGAAGGGAACTCGGAGTGCTCAGCTGTTTCTGCCTCTACCCTTACCACTTCTCTATTGGGGGTGGACCAAAAACCATAAGCCAGAAGAGCACCTCTCATGTTCATCTCCTGTGTTCCTGGCTTCCTAGCTCCTTACAGCTGAGGCTGGAAGTACTGCAGCAGCTGACGGCCTCCTGCCTTCCTTTCGCGTGCCTGCTGTGGGTGCGAATGTAGGAAGTCCCTTTTAAAAGGAGTTCCCAGGAACTCCCTTCCTGTTGTAAGGAGCTGGGATCATAGCTATATTATTAAATTCAATGCCATTATGCTAGCAGCATAAAAATGCAATGAAATCATCTAGGCCATTGTATTTGTCTGATGCCAGTGAAAAAGGAAGGGAGTGGCATAAGTAGTGCCAAGAAATAAGCATGTTAACGTTATTTTTAATGATAACACTTTAGCTTATTCATAAATGTAGCTAGAAGGAATACTAAGGAAAAAAAAAAAAAAAAGGAAATTTGGCAGCATCCTTTAAATTGGGGTATCATCACCGAGGCCTGCTGCAGGCTATCCTGGTATCAAGCAAGCAGCAGGAGCATCCCTTATTGGAGAGTTGGTTTATGGATTTGAGACAGGCAATCCTGAAGCAGAAAAATTGTTAGAGATCAGAAGGACAATTCAGAGACTTTCATTATTTCATTTTGAATTTTGTGATTTTTAGATGCTTATTTGTTACATAAGGAGACCAAAGAGATTTATTTTTTTTAAGGATAAGCAACCAGTAACATGAGTTAGTTTCCTATGCAGCACTTTTACAATACAGCTTTCTTTCATAACTGTTCCCTTCTCTTTTTGTTCAGATACAACCCTGTCTTCTATAGTTTAAACCTTTGTTTGTGCACTAATGAATCTAACTAAGCTGTCATAGAAAGCTCTAATGAGCATCACTCGCTTTCATTTGACTCTACAGCTTGCCATTACACACTTTAGAAGATCTGTTGGTTCTGTTGGTTTATTCACAGCAATCACTAGATATTCTTTTTCATTAGATAGATACTAGTTTTTCCTGTTGTGCCTTTCATTATTAAGGGAACTATGAAATGTTAATACTGGCCTCAAAACCCAGGGCAAAAAATGCCCGCAATCCTATTTGAAATGCAATTGCTTGTATTGTCAATGATCTTAAAGATCTGAACACAAACAGCTTGAAATTTTCTTCATTTATTTATGAAAGAATGAGAGGAAGAAAAATCAAGAAGGTGTCTCTGTATAACCCACTTGTCCAATTTATCTTGTTAACTGGATTCCCTGTAGTTAATTTAAGCAGCAGGACTGCAATTATAAAAGCATCCATAAACAGCTATTAAGAACTGTCATATTCCCACCCAGGTTCTTAGCTCAGATTTTAAACCCAGAAATGCTTACACTGTTAGGAACTTAGCTCTGAATCAGTTTTGAGAGGGTTTTGCCCTATCTGTCTTCGCAAATACTTGACTCTGATGACAGGAACATTGCAAAGCAGCCCAAAGGAGCCATATTTTTTGAAGATTTTATTGCTACCATTGATGTCCAGGCCAGATGTTAGAAGATTCAAAACATGCTTCAAAGGGAGAAGTCCTGAAAAGAGCTGAACTCCTTTTTGTGCTAATGATACCAGCCAAGTTTTTAACTAATTTTATAAGATGTGATGATATCTTGTAACTTTAGAGTTTTTAAGGAATGGATGTAATATTTAATTCTGGAATCCTTTCATTTTTTATTAAAATGTTTCCATGCTAGAAATTTCTTCACCTATATTCCATAATATTGTAAATAACAAATTTTTAAATAGTTTATAGTTCTAATAGTTTAATAGACTTGATATCAAGCTTCCTTAAAAAAAACCCCAAACAAACCAAAACAAATCTAAGTTTAGTAGAAATGTTTAGCTTTTGTTCTGATCAAATACAAAACTGGTATTTAAATAAGTACCACTTCTGACAACCACAAACCTTTCCAGAGTTTATAGAATAACCACTTTTACAAACTAAGTGTCAGTTTTCATACTATTTTATCTCGTATCTGCACCTGATTTAGGGTGACCAGCCTCTAAATTAAGATAAATGTAGTCATTATTTGTATTTAAATTTCATTTTTCTGTCACTCCCACACTGAAGACTGAAGAAGATGCATTTAATTTAGGTGACAGTCACATCATCCTTGTACATAATCTGCCACAGATACTGTATCCTAGAACATGCCCTAGAGCATTAATCCACCTCAACTTTATTTTACTTTCTAGATTCCTCTAATATTGGCTGAACAATATTTGTGGTTTATTATGGTGCTTTAGTTCTACTACATAGCCATGCTCTGAGTATGACTCTCAAAAGCGCAAGAACCATTTTTATTAGGGTATTTTTCCTGTAATATTAGAGAATCTAAAGGGTAATGATGGAGATTATCTTCAGTTCTGTTTTAACAGTTGTTGAAATAAGGAATAGAAATTCTTTCCATGCTTGACTCATAAGAGACAATCTCTCATCTCACTTCCAGCTATGTGTCCTTATTGGTACAGACAACCACAACTATTCCTGAAACTTTTCTCTTGTGCTTGCCTCAGTGAATATGAGCATAAAATATACTGAGTATCAGTGCCCTGTAGATAATTATTTGGAATAAATAACCAATGCCTTCTGTTGATTAGACCACCACAAAGATTAAGGACTCAAGGAGAAGGTGTAATACCTAAAGAACTGAATATAACTGGTAAAGCAATTGTTTATATACTAGATCATCACAGCTGTAAAGTTTCTCACAGTGGGAATAAGCAGCAGGAAAGGAAATGCTTTGCATACAAGAAATGCAAGAATTAATCTCCCTATCTATGAAATATTCCAGAAATATGTAACAACAGATTGGTGGGACCTTGAATGAAGCATTCCCCAGAAAATTCACACTCATTCAGGGTTAAAAAAAGTCAGCAGGTTTCTTAAGTATGCTAAAGAATTGAAAAGGTCATCAGTAAAACCTCTCTCCAACTCACACACAAAATGTTCTTTTCTGTTTGTTTTGACATCAGTATCTGGTCTAAGATTACCTTTCATTCAGATGACTGTTCAGTTCTTAAAAGTTCTTAAGATTTCTTAACTTGTATAAATAACAATCACTTGGGTGGAAAAAGCCTCATACCATAGAAGCACCTGCTGACAGGAGGTTTGAGCGTCCTTTTGCCAAAGCCAGACATCATGAATATCTCTGGAAAGCTTCCCTTTATAGCCTTCCTTCAGTTTTTTCTTCGTCTTTTTAAGCCTAATATCCATTCTATTTAAAAAACCTTGTCCAATTCATTTGTAATAAAAAAATAATTTCACTTCAGAGTAAAAAAAAGTAAGTATGTTACAGGCTAGGAAGAAATTAGGAAAGAAAACACACTTGACTGATGAAGCATTGGTTATCTATATACCCTTTAACAGACAGCCTGTGTAAAGATTCTGGAGTCAAGTTATGGCACATCTACAATCGAATAAACTAAGAAATCTCTTTTAGTGTTTAGTCTTGTTTTGGTTGGACTTTTTACCTGAAGATGACTTCAGAATTAGAAAGCAACCTGGCAATTTCTGTACTTCCATCTTGTATACTACAGTTTAATAAGAACTTGTTTCTTTCATATAAAACTGCTGAGTATCGGAAAAATCATGTCTTTCACTGAGTTTTCCATTACCTCCATGTAAATTTCTCTGTATTTTTCCCCTATAATAGCAATTACACTATTTTTTTCTCTGATAGCATTATTAGAAGCTAATTATTTTTTTCAGCTTTACAAAAAATATCCCCAGAAAGTTCCTTTCATATTCTCCATGTCTATATTTTGTTGGTAAAGCCCAATGCCAATAATTTATGATAGATTCAATAGGTGATAGATTCAATACATGATAGATCCTTGTCTCTAAATTGGAGAGACATCAATTTGATGAATGGACCACTCGGTGGATAAAGAACTGGCTGGATGACTGCACACAAAGAGTTGTGGTCAATGGCTCTATGTCCGACTGGAGACCTGTAATAAGTGGTGTCCCTCAGGGATCGGTGTTGGGACCGGACTTGTTCAACATCTTTGCCACTGACATGGACAGTGGGATTGAGTGCGCTCTCAGCAAGTTTGCCGATGACACCAAGCTGTGTGGTTCGGTTGACACGCTGGAGGGAAGGAATGCCATCCAGAGGGACCTTGAGACGCTTGTGAGGTGGGCTGGTGCCAACCTTATGAAGTTTAACCATGCCAAGTGCAAGGTCCTACACCTCAGTCGGAGCAATCCCAGACACAGCTACAGGTTGGGCAGAGAAGAGATTCAGAGCAGCCCTGCGGAGAAGGACTTGGGGGTGTTGGTTGATAAGAAAATGAACA